TTTTTTTACTGTGGGCTGCAACGTGTGAACTCCAAGTTAGAGTTCTGTTACTAAGAGGAAAGGGTAGAATAGATATGGCAGTGGGCAACTCACAGATTATGCTCATCTGTGCACACCTACTCTTTCCTAAGGGTTGTGGTGTATTTGGCATTTACCATGGGCCAGCTGCTTTTCACGTATTATCTCATTTAATCCTAAGAGCTTTGCAAGGTGGATGATAATATCTCTATTTTGCAATGATGAAACTGAGGCTTTCAGAGATGAAGCCACCTGCCCAAGTTACAGTCAGCAAATGGTTTAATTTAACATCCCACTTCAAAGCCAGTGCCACTTCTTGCCGATGCTCTCACAGACCTGCTCTTTTCTTGCTGAGGCTGCAGGGTGTTGGTTCGACCTTTCTAAGCTACATTCCGGATCCCACCCCTTTTGCCCAGCTCCCCTTCACTGTTACCCATATGCCTCCTGTGATACTCTCTTCAAAAGAACTCTGGGAAAATACAGACACTGTACTGACAAGATTAGTTTCTTATTGCTGGTGTGATAAATGACCACAAACTCGGTGGTCAGAATTGAATTGGAGGACACCCAGCAGGTGTCCACAGCTCCATGTCGGGGGGAGAAATTCCCACACATTTGGTCACCAGCATCTTCCGTGTTGATTGTCGTGGGGTGAGAGCAGAGGAAGAGCACGGTTGGAGAGAGTTTTCTGTGCACAGTCACGATGAGGGCCCAGAGGGACTGACAAGGAAGAAGATGGTTCTCCAGCTCACAGAACTCAGGGAAACACGTTTAGTGGTTTATTTTAAAGGCTGTTATGAAGGCTACAGGTGAAGAGATGCAGGGGGTGAGGTGTGGAGGAAGGGATGTGGAACTTCTGTGCCCTTCCTGGATATTCTACCCTCTAGGAACCTCCATGTACTCAGCTATCTGGAAGCTTCCCAGAGAACCCTGTCCTCTTGGGGTTTTATGGAAGCTTCATAACGTCAGCATTCCTTCCCCCAGGGTATAGGGCGGGTCCCTCTCTGGGGAGGGTCTCAAGACCTATAGTCAGAAAGGTGGGGAAGATTAGTCCTGCCCTGGGGAAGAATAGTGGCTTTAAACAACACAAATTCATTCTTTTACAGTTCTGGAGACCGGCTTCACTGAGCAAAATTCCAGGCATCTGTGGGGCTTCCTTCTGGAAGTTCTAGGGGAGAATCTGTTTTCTTTGTCCCCTTCCTTGAATCCTTCCGACCTCTTGCTTCCATTATCACACTGCCTACTACCTCTCCGGGACCAGATCTCCCTCTGCCTCCCTCTGCCTCCCTCTTATGAAGACCCTTGGGATCACAGTTAGGGCCTACCTGGATAGTCCAGGCCAACTTCTCAAGATCCTTACTCACATCTGCATAGGTCCTTTTGCTGTACAAGGTAGGATTCACCGCTTGCAGGGATCAGGATGTGGACATCTTTGGGGGCTACTATTCAGCCCCTCACAGGAGCCCTTGCTACTGTTCTTCCATTTCTTGTCCCCATCTTTTTTTTTTTTCCCCAAACACAGAATGTACATAGATTTCACTTCTGTCCGGGTTTTTTTTTTTTAAAGAGGCCAGAAACATGGTCTACAGGGCAAGGCAAAGTGTTGCGAGGGTTTGTCTAATCAGCTCCCAGTGGCCACAGCAACAGACATGAAAACATTCAAGTGGAAACGACCTGGGGGTAGAGGGGGGTGGAGGGAAGGATCCTGCCCTGGAGGGGCCTGTGTCACCTCAGCCAGGTGACTTAACCTGTGGAGTGATGTATGTTGGAGAAGCATAATCAGTAGTTATGGTAGTTCCGTAGCGAGCTTTGCAAAGCTTCCCTGTAATTCTAGGGGATCAGATCTCTAGATGCCTTCTAATTCCTGTACCTCCTATGGTCTTTCTCTAGGCTAACAGAGGTGTGTCTTTAGTGGAATACAAATGCCATATCTAGAAGCGTTAGATTTGTGAGGAGGAGGGAGAGTTAGGATCTGCTTATGGCCTAACCTCGTTTTCCTCCCCTGTGTGGATTCCCTCATTGCCCCCAAACACCCCTTGGCTGGGCCAGCCCTGCTGGGACGAGAGGCTGGGGTGTTGTATGTTTTGCTTTTTATTTTATTTTGCAAATGCCTCACAGCATTCCCCTCTGTGTTTAATGTCCCACTGCCAAGTGCATGCAGTTGCCCGGCAACAAGAAGGAAGTCCCTGTGTGATTCACCCGACTGTTGCCAATTAATTTGCGAGCTGCATGCGTCTCCCAGGGGAAAAGGGCTGTCTCTGAGATAGCTCAGAGGGCCACTGCCCAGGCGGAGGAATGAAACCAGAGGAAGGTCGGCAGAACTTTGGGTTTGTGTGGGGTGTTTTCAGGTCCACATGAAAGGGTGTGTCCAGAGGACCCTGGCGACACCTGTGGCAAAGGCTCCTGGCTTCCTTCTTGGCCACCAGAGAGCTGCCCAGAGCGAACAAGCACTTCTGTGTCTGCACATTGGTTGCCTTTTTGGATTTTCATCCTTTTATTTTTTAATCGACTCTAAAATGCAGACTCTCCTGTCCCAGTTCATCCGCAGAGAAATGTCTTGGACCATTTTCTTCTCGTCAGTCCCTCCCGGGCTCTCATCATGACTGTGCAGGGAAAACTCTTTCCAACCATGCTTTTCCTCTGCTCTCACACTGCAACAATCAACACGGAAGACGTCGGTGACTGGAATGTGTGCAGGTGTTTCCCCGACACCAATTCAACTCTGATACCATCTGCCTGGACATAGCATCAGATCCCATGGGTTGAGGACTCAGTACCCAAGGCTGCCCCCTCCTCCCCAGACACCAGTTGCCAGTCCGGGCCTCTGGAACTTCTCACCGACCAGCTTCAAGTTGGGGTTCCCATGACTCCCCTCTCTGGGTTCAATTAATTTGCTGGAGCAGCTCACAGAACTCAGGGAAACCCATTTAGTGGTTTATTCTAAAAGCTGTGACAAAGGATACAGGCGAAGAGATGCATAGGATGAGGTGTGGGGGAAGGGGTGTGGGGCTTCCCTGTCCTCCCTGGATGCTTCACCCTCCAGGAACTTCCGTGTGCCCAGCTGTCTGGACGCTCCCTGAAGAACCCTCACCTCTTGAGGTTTCATGGAAGCTTCATGACATCAACATTCCTTCCCTGAGGTATAGGGCAGGTCCCTCTCTGGGGAGGGCCTCAAGACCCATAGTCAGAAAGGCGGGGAAGATTAGAGTTCTGTCTTGGAGCAGGTGTAAGGAGCGCAGGAGTGGGATTCTGTTTCCTGAGGCCCAACGTTATAGCAAAAGACTGTAACAAGGGCTATGGGAGTTATGAGCTAGCAACTTTGCATGAGAACCCGTGCGTGTGTGTGTGTGTGTGTGTGTGTGTGTGTGTATGTATAATAACACCACAGTGTCATTGTCTCATCTCTGGTCACTAGTGCCCTTCTCTCTGGGTTTCCTGGCCATTGCACACATCTCCACCAGGGCCTCAGCTAGAGCCTTTGTGAAGGAGAGTTCCTTTGCACCAGGTTAAGCAGGGCCCCCAGGTCTTCTGAGGGACAGAAGGGGGCCTGTTGGTTTCCGAATGCCCCCAGAATCTGTGGTGCATTTCCCTCAAGGCCTTGCTGTCCTCTGGCCCCATGCTTGCCTAAGGAAACCTTTGATCCATGTTATGTCTCCATTATGACCTGTGAGGGTGGAGTTTGCCTGTCTGGTTGATTCCTGTATCCACAACATCTAATCCAATATGGTACTTGTGAATGCATGGATTTGTGGTTGCCCAGGTATTCCTTGTGGATTGATAGTGATTGCTAGAATCAGAGACCCAGAGGGCAGTCTCTTTCATAAGGCCTGTGTTATCTATATCTGTGAATAGGCCTGACATGGCTTGGCTTTGTGTCCCCACCCAAATCTCATCTTGAATTGTAATCCCCATAATCCCCAGGTGTGGAGGGAGGAATCTGGCGGGAAGTGATTGGATCATGGGGTCTGGTTCCCCCATGCTGTTCTCATGATAGTGAGTGAGTTCTTATGACATCTGATGGTTTTATAAGTGTCTGGCATTTCCCCTGCTTGCTCGTCTCTCTCCTGCCACCATGTGAGGAAGGTCCTTGCTTCCTCTTTGCCTTCTGCCACCATTGTAAGTTTCCTGAGGCCTCCCCAGACACGTGGAACCGAGAGTCAATTAAACCTCTCTCCTTTGCAAATTACCCAGTCTTAGGTATTTCTTTATAGTGGTGTGAAAACAGACTAATACAAGGCCCCTCACTTGCACTACTGAGACTCATCAGTTTTAAAATAGGGCAGTCTCCTGAGGGCATTTGGTCCTATTCAATATATTTGTTACTCAGTAATGGAAGGTAATGCTGGGGGGTGAACATCAAGGAAAGTGTCATGAGTCCAAGTCCATCTTAATTTATTTGCTATCAGAATTAGGGAAGAAGAAATATATTTAATGGTGTCTTCCCATTTCCTCTGAGCTATCCACTCTGGGTAAGTTCCTAATTTATTGTTAAGGGTGTTTCAGAAGCAGAGAGAAGTTCCTAGTAAATCCCAAACATGAGGATTAGGAACCAGAGCCCTGCTGTTCTGTAGCAAGAACACCGGCACCCTCTGTGCCTTGGCTTTCCACTATGAAGTAGGTGATCTACCACCCCCATGCTCCCTGCTCCGTAAATCACAGAAATAATGGTGACCGGCTGAAAAACAGAATTTTCCACTTCCTCAGGACTGGCTGTGCTCAGTGGCATTTTAAAAAATCAGCTCTGGATGTCGTGGTGGGATTTGTGTAGGAGGGTTCCTGGTGATGATTCAGGGGATGGATCGTTCCTTGAGAGGTATAAATAGGCTTCCCCCCCACCACCCCACTCAACTAAAATACTGCTTTTTGAAGTATGTGTTCTGTTCAACAGCTAAAACATTATGAACCAAAGACAGTAATGTGATGTTAGCCCCTGAAAAGGCAGAAGCTAGAATATATCTCTCATGCTGTTTTTTGATCCACAGGATGGGAAGGAGGACTGATCCACGTTCCCACCAGGAAGCTTAGTGGAACCCCCGTATGCCACCTGGACCCCCTGGAAGGACCTGGCCAAGGCTGAACCACCTCTTGAGAGGCAAGAGCTCCAAATTTGATCAGAAATTCTTGGCTGGGCATGGTGCCTCATGCCTATAATCCCAACACTTTGGGAAACCGAGGTGGGAGGATCGCTTGAGCCTGGGAGTTCAAGACCAGCCTGGGCAACATAAGGAGACCCCATCTCTAAAGAATAGTAATAATAAAATAAAAAATTAGCAGGGCATGGTGCCATGTGCCTGTAGTCCCAGCTACCCAGGAGGCTGAGGCAAGAGGATGGCTGGAGCCTGGGATGTTGAGGCTGCAATGAACTGTGATTACCCCACTGCACTCCAGCCTGGGCAACAGAGCGAGAGACCCTGTCTCAAAATAATACTAATAATAATCTTATTTTGGAGAATAAAGAAACCTCTGGATTTGAGGAGCCGTTTGGGTAGAAAGCAAAGACCTTCACAATGAGAAATAGTCTGTGTTGACCTGAAGGAGCAGAGGGATGCATCGCTGGAGGTGACCTACAGTTGGAGAAGACTCATTATGCCAGACCTTGTCCTTCTTCCTTGTGGAAAATGTTTCCTCTGCTGCTGCTGCTCATTAGACTCTTCCCCCTCCCTGTCTCAGGCAACCAAAGGGCTTTCTACCACACCCTTTCTTGCCCCCCGCCTCCCATGTCTGCTGTGCCTTTGTACTCAGCAATTCTTGTTTGCTCCATTATCTTCCAGCCGGATACAGAGTGAATAGTTAACCACACTTAGGTCAAATAGGATCTGAATTTTTGTTCCTGCTCCGTCTAAAGAGGCCAGTGTTTGTGCGTTACAAGCAGCCTTGGAATATTAACTCTTCTCATTTGTTTGGGATCTCATTGTATTCCTCAGCCATCAAGTTCCAGAATGATACACGGATCAGTGCAGAAGTTCATCAGGCTCTCGGACCTTAGGGCTGTTGGAGAAGTCTTCAGCAGGGGAACTGATGGTGAAGGCTGGTGTTCTCCATCCTCAACTTTCTTTGCTTGGATCACACATAAGTATACATTTGGAAGGGCAAAAAATGAACACTGTTGTTCACTGCAGCCGTGTTTTGTGACACAGATGCACAGTCTGCTGTGAAGACCTTCTCGCAAGTGGCAGTTGGGGGATCCATGCCAGATCATGGTGCTTCGTGACAGACTAACAGCTACCAGGGATGGTGGCACTTAGTGAGGACCCTCCTCCCCCAGTGTGTGCTGATGACACATACACACCTGACAATAGCTTGAGTCTTCTCTGTTCTTTTTTACTCTGTGGCCACCATACACATGATTTAAAACCCTTCCTAAATATCTATCATGGTTCACCCTTGTCCAAATGCAGAGTCAAAGCTACTTGTACTTTATTATTATTTCCAAGGCAAATAGATGGCTTGCTTTTTACAAAAAGAATTAAAGCTTTTGTATGTTGCAGTTGGTGTGCTTGTATGAACATTTAGTGAATCTGGTGTCTTCTAAGTGGAACAATGGAGTCTTTGTGGACATCTCAGATTCATCACAAAATGATTGAGGAGAACCTCTTGACAATGTTTAGAGCTATTGAAATTTACAGATTGTTGATGGGCTTTCACCTTTTCCTTCCTTGCTTGACACACAGTTACAGGCATTGTATTCCTTGGATTCCTACAAGTGTCAAAGAACAGAGATCCACTTACATTACTTTCATAAATGCTGGTTTATTCAAAAGTCACAGTGATAGTAAGGTAGACAGGAAACAGTCCCAACCATTGCCTAGCTAAGCCTTTTCAAAAAGCCCAAGGTCATTCAGCAGACACAGAAGCACTAGTTGGTTTTCAAGGATAACAAGAGCAATCCCATCATGGTCATCTTGATCCTCTCTTCAGCAGCAGGTTTTGCTGTCCCTGACTCTAGAATTCTGCTGTGGTGATGAGCTGAGGGTAACCAACGGTCCCAGTTTGCCCAGGACTAAAGGGTTTCTTGGGATGAAGGCCATTCAGTGCTAAACCTGGGACAGTCCTGGGCAAACTGGGACAACTGGTCACCCTCCTGGGTGACTCAACGACTCTGCCTCTACTTTGTTACTTACTATTAACTGACTGATGCTGTTGACTGGTTTAGCCAATCTGCATTCAGAGCTCTTGTATCTGGTTACTTCATTGACCCTCAGGCAGCCACAGGTGGATGCTATTGGATCAGGCACCAATGCTGACCAAATCAATTGTTTCCAGGATGGTAGGGTTGTATGAAGTACCAACTGAGACCATGTCCTTCTGAGTGTTGTAGATGGTGGGCATGGCAGGCCTTCAAAGTATCAGGGATTCCTCTCCAATACAACCTTACTTACAAAGGAGAAACTAACTTTCTCATGAAAAACAAAACAGTTCATTAAGAAACAAAACTAACACAGTCACTGGGAACTGAGGAAGAGAGCCTGTAATGTGTGTGCAAGCACACACACACACACACACACGCATACACATGCTCTCTGTAGAATAATGAGCCAAGATTCCAAATCTGCATCTTTGCTAGACAGAGATCAAGAACTAAAATCTTTGGGATGGTGTTGTCTGGGAAGCGAAGGAGTTGGCTCGAGGACTTCCTGAAATTCCTTTGAACTCTAGAATCCTTTAAAATATCAAGGGTGTGTAAACTGGGGCTAAGTATGTACATTCTCTCTAAAGTCTCCTAGATAACCTTTGAGTTCAATTCAGTGTGGAGTGGGGCCTCCCAGTTTATACTTAGCTTTCTAGACACTGACTTTATCTGGGATGAGGGAGCAGAACTTGGAGGTGGTGGTCGGGGCGGGGGCAGGGGGAGTGGGTAAGGGAGAGTTGTACCAGCCCAACTTTTTTGGTCTTCATAACAAGTAAGAACAATCTGAAGGCAAATTACAGGTTCTTTTGTGGACTAGAAAAAGCCAGGTTTTCAGGATTGCGTGGCATCCTGAAGTTGTTGCTGCTTGTCGGAGCATCTGGCCTCCATCTTTTCTGCTGAAAGACAGGCATGAGTGTTTACAGTGCTGGAACAGGGGCCTTCAGATAATTTCATTCATCTGGCATGGCAAGACCACAGGGAGGGAATTACATGCTAGGGTAGGGATGAACGTATGGACATACCATGCACCTTGGTGTTTGCCCCTGTAGCGATTCTCACTCACAACCTTCACTACCATTGGAGGGATGCTCACCCACCTCTTTGGGTGCCATTTTTCTTTTTTAAAAGATGAAGGCATTTCAGATGATCCCTTCATTTATGTTCCACTTTCACTCTTTGGTTTCAAAAGAAGTCCTGATCTTATGTCAAAGGCAACAATCTCTTCTCTCAATCTCTCTCTCTCTGTCTCTCTCTCTGGCTCACTCTGTCACCCAGGCTGGAGTGCAGTGGCATGATCGCAGCTTACTGCAGCCTCGACCTCCTGGGCTCAAGAAATCCTCCTGTCTCTGCCTTCTGAGTAACTGTGACCACAGCTGTATGCCATCACGCCCAGCTCATTTTTTTATTTTTATTTTTTTGTAGAGACAGGGTCTACACCATCTTGCCCAGGCTCGTCTTGAACTCCTGAGATCAAGGGATCCTCCTGCCTTGGCCTCCTGAAGTATGTGAGCCAATGTGCCTGGCCCTCTCTTTTCTTATCTCCTTATCCACATGTGATCACAGAACCCGGGAGGCTGAAGTGGTCTGAAGCATCACTGTTCTCTAGATTTATCTCTGACTCATGCAGGAATCCCCTTTCAAATCTGGCAAGGGATCGTTCAGCCCAGGGGAGAAAGGACTATGAGAGAGTCTGAGTGATACTCAGCCTGATGGGGAAGCAGTTGAATTTTAAAGAGTGTTTCATGTACTGCCAAGTGGCCACGAATGTCAATTTCTTAATGAGATTTTGTGCTAAATGCATTTTGCCCTCTCCCCCATGTTTATGCTGGTAAAACAAATAAACAAAAAAATGCAGTGCAGGGAGGCAGAGACCTAAGTTTTCGTCTCAGAAAGCCCCTCATCATCTTAATTTCTTCCATATAAAATGAGGGATTTGGGCCACATGATCCCTGGAGCCTATTCTATTAATAGTTCTGACATCCACAATGTTGGCATATTTGATGGATAAGCTATCAGCCTTCTAGGAGTCCATGTCTTAAAGATTTGCTGGGGTTTTATGTCTCATCTTAGAATAGGACATTAGATATTGTCCAAGGTACAATGTAAAGGGATTTCATCTTGCCTTAATTTCATTATGAACATAACAATTTCAAATTAGCTCCCCGACACTGCCCCCACCCCCCAATTTTGTTCAGCCTTGCCTGTGAGATTTCCATGGCATTGGAACTTGATCCACAGGAGAACTTTGATCCTCTTCAAATGGCCCTGGAAACCCATGTGGGAAAATATTAGTCACGTTGACAAGAGAGATAGGAGGTTCTCGTGGTGAAACAAGTCCCTCTGCTCAGGAGGCTGCAGTTTAAAGGATTTCAAGGTGACCTTGGAAGTGGCCGCTGACCTTGGATAAGACATTTCTATGCCACGCTGGTGGAGAACAGGTGGAGAGAGGCCTGAAGACAGCCCTGAACTGAGGGGTCTGGAAACCTGAACACCGGCCCTGCCTTTGGCTTCGGCTAAGTCCGGGTCACATGTAAGTCACTCCAGCCTCTTCTCTGGGTCTCAGTTTTCTCATCTATAAAAGGGACAGAGAAGGGGCAGGGGTTGGTCTGACGATCCTCTGAGGTTCCTGCCATGCATCAAGTTCTCAGCCTTGCCTGGCCCAGCTGGTTCCTGACAAGCAGTAGCCCTTTCTCCCTTTGCCTTTGGCTGTGCCAGTCAAAAACAGGGCTGTCCGGGAAGTCCATTACCAAAGAATACTTCAAAGCTGTTTGCACGCATTGTCAGTTGCACTGAACATGAGTTTGTTGAGGGAGAAGGTAAATAGACATATAGGCCGATGACAGGAGGGGTGGAAGGGGGACCACTATTTACCCCCAGGGTGGCTGTGAGGGAAAAAAAGAAACCCTGCCTGCCGTTTTGACCAATAAATAAAAACTGGGAGCTCTGCGTGGCTAAAACCGTAGGGGATTTATTAGTTTGCTTAGTGAAAGGCAAATATTAAATCTTAAGTTGACCCGTCCTGGGACCTGCCTTTTGGCTTTTGTATGCCATGCGGCGCCGATCACTGGGCCCTCGGGTTATCGAGTTTTGTTGAAGGTTTTTTTTTTTTTTTAATGGTTTTCCGCCTCCGTCTTCTCTTCCTCTTTCACCTGCCCCTTCCCACTATGTCCCACCTTTTTCGGTAACTTAGATGGGGGTTTTGGAGGGGTGAAAAGGGCAAGGGTGAAAAACATGTTCTGCTTGTAGAACCGTCTCTGCCCAGGGCTCTGGCTAGCCCGGGAATTGCCGACGCCTGGGATGTGGTGACTCCGGGGAGTGACCCCAGCAGGTGGTCCTCGCGGGTCCCTGCCATCCTCTCTCCTCGACTCTCAATGTTAGGTCCCAGGTGTAAGGCAAAGGCCTTGTCCCTCACGAAAATCAGCATAATGACAAGCACTGGAAAAGAACAGAGTATGGCCGGGCGCGGTGGCTCACGCCTGTAATCCCAGCACTTTGGGAGGCCGAGGCGGGCGGATCACAAGGTCAGGAGATCGAGACCATGGTGAAACCCCGTCTCTACTAAAAATACAAAAAACGAGCCGGGCGCGGTGGCGGGCGCATGTAGTTCCAGCTACTCGGGAGGCTGAGGCAGGAGAATGGCGTGATCCCGGGAGGCGGAGCTTGCAGTGAGCCGAGATCGCGCCACTGCACTCCAGCTTGAGCGACAGAGCGAGACTCCGTCTCAAAAAAAAAAAAAAAAAAAAAAGAACAGAGTATGCCTATTTCTAAGTTTTAACTTCCCTATCTGAGTCTTCATACCCAGCCATGGCAGATGATTTCAGCCTGAAAGAGGAACTGTTCAAGGTGGGGCTGTGCCCATTAGGATCTGACCAGGGCTTGTGACTCACCATGGAGTGAAATATTGGGGCAAGAGGGGCTGGATGGCCACTGAGTCTATTCAGTTTTCAAGTAGGAGCTGCAGTGAAACTAAACTAGATGGAGCATTATTTATCTTTTGCTTTAAACATCCACAGCGTAATCCACCCTATTCTAAAACACTGCAGTTTGTGGGTGCTAAGGTCTCCGTGGTGGTGCTTGCTAACAGCCACCCACTGTCGGGTACAGCACAGCAGGACACACTGCTCCATGTCAGACCCTAAGTGCCCGTTTCCTGGTCCACCCCAGTGACCGTTCAGCATGCATCTTACTCATCTACCTGGGGCACTATGGCTTCCCAAATCACTACTCACATTCTAGAACTACTTACTTCAGAAAGTTTCTTGCACATTCCAGTAATGTTTTTTTTTTTTTTTTTTTTTGTGATGGGGTCTCACTGTGTTGCCCAGGCTGGTCTTGAACTCCTTCACTCAAACAATCCTCCCA